GCTGAATAACATATATAGTTTTATCTCGAAGAAAATCGACCACAAGAAAAAGAACACAATATATTCGCTTCAAAATATTTGAAAGAAATTTTAACAACACAAAAGTTGCATTATATTTATGGAAAAAATGCTACTAAACCAGATAATTTTATTTATAATTTTCGAGAGATATTTAATTTGTCTTCGAATAAAACATTCAAGATACAGGGCAATATGCATTACACCGCGAATGTACTTCCGTTAGTATGCTGACAGCAATCAAATAGGAAGTTTGGTAAAATCTTTTATTAAACACATCAAAGATTGATGTCTTCTGTAATATTACGTTTTGAAGTAAATATTGGCTCTAACGTGATCTATGACACAGACATTCTATTGAGCCTTATAACGTTGAATTAGGCTTGCCATTTTTCAGTATTTGAAAAGCGGTTTCTTTTCGTTCCAGACACCTTTGCTCACACCCACACTTTGGACACATATTTTGATTAAAGAGTGTCTGTCATAGAAGTCGGCCTGCATACTTTTTGCTGTACATATTCATGAGCAAAATGTTTTCCACGCCTGCGTTCATCCCTTTGTCAGTACAATTTTTAGTTATTTTTCGAAAAGTATTTCTTCACTTTTTCTTCCTTGTGAATAAAAACTCGTATTTTTTTAACTACAATCATTTAAAACATCACATGTGAAAACAGGCGCGTTTTAACAGTTGTTAAAACAGGCATGCTTTTGGTACAAGCCACCAAATTACTTGTTACTCTACTTAATGTCAAAATTTGTTGTACTTTGTCTCTGTCTTCGTCCTAGTGAATGTACTCAAAAAGTACTCTGCTAGAAAAATCGGACGAGTACTCATACGTACTCATACATTTTTTTACTCACCTGAGTGCTCATGAGTGAGTAACAAGTACTCTGAGTACGACTTTGAGTACTCATGCTTGGGTACTGTTGAGTACTCATACCACTTTCGGCAAAATACTCATGAGTATTGTTCATCGATATTTTCATATAGAGGAGTGATCTCAGGTAGCCAGAGTAGGACCACAAGTCTAGTCATAGACAAGTCTATCTCTGACTATATAAAGAGAGACCAGTGAGAAAATAATAATATAAATATTCTGTGTTTCTTCACTAAATTCTACATTCTTTATACAGTTTCAGTTTAGCAAAATAAAACGGTGAATGAATATTTCCTGAGTACTCACATGAGTAACAATACTCAGAAATTGTTAGTAGTACCAATATGAGGACGCATGGACGAATTATGAGTAAAGTCGTACTCATCGTATGAGTACTTTCACTAGGGCGAGCACTTTCTGATCGCTGATTTCAGTTTCTATCCATATCCGTCCATTTTCATCGAAATGTCCAATAGAACATGTAGTAGAAGAATGACCAAGCTACTGGTGTGCTTGACGATTTATCAGACACATTGGTTCTAGAATCGGCTGACTAAAATTATGTTATATGTATGCATTCTGTATTAAATGATTTGACTTTTGACGTTTTTTTACCATTTTGCAATTTAAGTTCTGATTTTGTGAAGCACATGTATTTAATTGTGAATATATAAATTGTTTAGATAGAAAAAATAATCTCGAGTATCGAATGCAATCAAATAACGGGTGTGGCAAGGTGCGCAGCCCCCCTCCCCCTCGAACAACTGAAAAAGCTGTTGTTATTTTATCCATTATTCCTCGCACAAAATTTCTTTTATCAAGTTCACCCTATCTCAAAGAGAAATTTTGTTTTACACCCCTCCAATGTTCTGCTCCTATTTACGGCCCTGATCGAATGCAGCATACTGTGTGGCTCACTATTAATTCTAGATTACAGTCAGCACATTTGTTTAGAAACAACAAATAGGAAAGATATGAATGTTCAAGGATACAGTCATCACAATTCTAAAACAAAACGATAAAGATATAAAAGAAAAGAAAACCTATCTATCATCAAAGAATAATGATTTTCTTTGATAATTAGAAAAGTGAGCAGTAAGGCTTACCAGAACAAATACACCACATTTGTCTTATATTTTAATAAACTATGCTTTTAATAGTTAGACTAGCAACACAGAAAAATCGATTATAAGGTTCGACCATTATGATTTTAAAAAACTCGCAAAACGATATTTCAATATGAAAAGTATAAAAATTAATATAAAATATAGATTATTCTCATAAAAAAATGAAACAAATATTGTCATATGAAATTAGAAAAAAACAGCAAAACCATTAAAACGTAAAATAATTCTGAAAATTATCGATAATTGTAAAAAATTAAAATTAAAAATCACAGAAAAATATTGCACATCTTGAAAGATAAATAGTTAAACTGATGGAAAAAAGTAGTAGTTTTAGTTGTTTAAAAGACGAGTACTTTCATCCGAAGGGTGACGAAAAGAATAAACAAAACTGTATATTATTAGTACTAAAGCCAAAATGCAAACAACTACAATGGATAGAACCAACACTGTTGTTGAAGGAGCTGAAATAAAATGAATAGACATAAGTATTGACTCTTATTTCTTCATTCATAAACGAGCTATCGTCTCTACGAGATAGCGAAATACTTAAGAACTTACACGAATGAGGTGATACTTGACATTCACTATCCATTGTCTGCGTTGGTAGTTGTGATTGATAAATGCTTTTGAATGTATCTAACGGACATAGAAGATCTGGGCAACCTAAAACAACGAATGTCAATAATAAAAAAAGTCAATATTTATGTTTATTTAAAATTACCATCAAGCTTATGGGTAAACGTTGTATTGGTTGAATTTAAATAAGAAACTTGAATAGCATAAGTATTATCTATAAACGAACAGAATGACTGAAAAATTGAGTCCATTTACACTATTACTACAATATCACTAACCTGTCTGATATAAATCGATAAATATGGCACTTGAATATACTGGCTGATGTATATAATTTATGCCAAGTAACGATAATATAGCAGCTAGTACAACATCATCCTAAAAGAAAAAAAATGTATCATTTCGAATCATCAGAAAAAAATATTAATTTCAGATGTTACAGCTGAATATAATTTTGCTTTTCGTCCATTTTCATTCTTCTGAATAATATTGTTGATATTCTCTAATATATTGTTCAATAATGGACCTGTACAAACATTAAAACATCCTGAGAAAAACAAAAATATAGAGAGAACGAATGTTTACCTCCTCTCAATCGTTTAACATCAGAATTAGAGTACAAATAATAGAGTGATAAACCGTGTAATACTTCTAATTCACCTTGAACAGTCGGAGTAGCCCACCCTGGTGTCACATCATATTGAGACTACGAAAAATAAGTGATTCTAAAAGGAGACCAAGTTCCATATTATTGACTTCTCTTTACCTCGATATATATGGTATCAGCTAACATCTGCATATTATCCATCAAGTTAACATTATTTAACTGTGTATTATTCTCCAAATATTTGTATAATTCCTATAACAGAAATATATCGAATCTTCATCAACAATTGTTTCTATATGAATATTACAGCATTTCGTTTGTCAATTTGTTTAACTTCATCTAAATTTTTCACTTTTTCTTTGCTATTATCAAATTTTGCGCATACACTATTGATGCCAAGTAACTAAAAAATTGTAAATGTTATTCAAAGAGAAGTTGTTAAACTATAGTCTGATATACATAATCTTCTTTTTCTGGTATTGAATGCACTGGTGGAAGTGGAGCAGGAAGTAGAGGAGGAGGTATCGGTTCACTTTGTACTTTTTTTATTTGTTCTTTTGAAGCATATAAACCAACAAGAACTAAAAACGCCGATTGGATATTGTAATCTCTATCGGCACTTCGAATATGGAGCTAAATTAATTATAATTATATTACTATCACTATTACTACTTATCAGCCATTGCACGTAAGTCACGGCCTACTGCCATAGAGAGGTGTACAGAATGAAAAAAAATTCGACTGTTTTCGATCTCATATGAAAGAGCAAACATTTCTGACTAACTAAATTTCTGACGTTTGATGATTGAAAAATAATGTATGCTTACTGGGCTATGAAGTTTTCAAAAGTAGTCCCAAGGCAAAAGTTTCGGTTTCAGTAAAAGTGGTAGAGACATCGAATTTGCATCATTATTTAAGCTGATGCCTAGGCTACCGATGACCCCAGTGACATGTGCCATCATATGTGTCGCGTGGTCAATGAGGAGTCATCATTTTTTGGTTTATGGACTATTTTTGAAATATCTGTTCTGCACGAGAGTACAAACACTTTTGGGTATCTTTGCGTCATCGTGTAATCAAGTAGTTACTGTATAGGGGGGGGGGGGGGGGTTGTTAAAAGGAAATTTGGGGGTTTTTTATGGAGCGGGAAAAAAGGGGTTGGGGGATATT